TATTCACCTTTCCCTGGTGCCTCCTTGAGTAGCTTAACAATTGACCTTCTGAATTATTTTTCTGGCAATTCAGAGATTTCTTATTGGTTTAGATTCACTGCTGGTGAGCTAGTATGATCTTTTGGGAGTATTAAAGAACCTTGTTTTGCCATATTATCAGAATTGTTTTTCTGATTCCTTCTCATTTGTGTAGACTATGTCAGAGGGAAGATTTGGGGCTGAAGGGCTGCTATTGAGTTTCTTTTGTCCCACAGGGTGCTCCTTTGATATAGTGCTCTCCCTCTTCCCTTAGGGATACTGCCTCCTAAGAGGCAAACTACAGTGATTGTTATTTCTCTTTTGGATCTATCCACCCAGCAGAGCTAATAGGCTCTAGCCTGGTACTGGGAGTGTTTGCAAAGAGTCTTGTGATGTGATCTGTCTTCAGGTGCCTCAGCCATGGATACCAGCACCTGCTCTGGTGGAGGTAGCAGGGAGTGAAGTGGACTCTGTGAGGGTCCTTGGTTGTATTTTGGTTTAGTGTGCTTGTTTTGTGTTGGTTGGCCTCCAGCACGGAGGTGGCACTTTTAAGAGACTATTGGGAGAATCAGCAGTGGGCTGGGCCATAGAGCTCCCAAGAGATTATGTCCTTTGTCTTTAGCTACCAGGGCAGATAGAGACAGACCATCAGGTGGGGGCAGGGTTAGGTATGTCTGAGCTTAGACTCTCCTTGGGTAGGGGTTGCTGCAGCTGCTGTGGGTATGTGGGTGTAGTTCTCAGGCCAATGAAGTTATATTCCCAGGAGGATTAAGGCTGCCTTTGTTTTGTCATGCATGTTGCCAGGGAAGTGGGTGAAAGCTGGCAGTTACAGGCCTCAACAGTTCCCATGCAACCCAAGAGGCTGGGTTGCCGCATCCTCAATTGCACTGAGTTTATTTCCAGGCAGCCAGTCAGCAGGGCTGAGAACTTACCCAGGCTTCATGTCTCCCCACTGAGGAAGCAAGCAGGGCTTTCAGGTTTCATGCCTCCCTGCCTGCCACAGCTTCTATGCTTGTATCTGCACTCCTGGTTTGCCCCTCCCCCAGTTCTGTTCAGGAAACTTTGTGTTTGGTCAAAGTGGTTACAAAGTTCAGCTGGAAATTTCATTCTCCCTGTGGTCTTTCCCCAGTTCCACTGGCAGCCCTCCCAAGGATCCCTGAGAAACAAAGAAATGGCTTCCCTGGGGATGGAGAATTCCCACAGGGCTCTTCTAGCTCCTTTCCCTACCCCTGTATTTGGCTCAGGGGCCTAAATTTGTCTCAGTTCCAGGAAAGGTCAAATTCTTCTCCTGTGATCTGGACCTTCAGGTTCCCCAGTGAGGAAGTGTGTTTGGAGGCAGACGATCCCCCTTTTCACTCTTTCACACCTCGGATACTCAGTTTTCTGGCTGTGTCACATAGCCTACAGCCTGCCTCTTTGTATACTGGGTTCTAATGTAAAATATATTTCTTCCCATAGGTTACAGTAAAAGAAAAAGAAAGTAAGTCACTGGCTTATTTAATCATCATAAAAACTTTATAAGGCAGGAATTCTCTCCATTTTACAAATGAAACCAAGATTCTTGAGTCAATAGAGTTAAATAATTTACCTTTGGTTATGTAGCTCATTAGTGGTTGAGCCTGAATTTCATGCAAATTTTTTGACCTCAAAACAACTCCTTTTGGGCTGGACACAGTGGCTCATGCCTGTAATCCCAGCACTTTGGGAGGCCAAGGTAGGAGGATTGCTTGTGTCCAAGACTTCACGAACAGCCTGGGCAACATAGTAAGACCCAAAAAATAAAAAATTAGCTGGGCATGGTCGTGTGCACCTGTCATTGCAGCTACTCAGGGGGCTGAGGTGGGAGGATCGCTTGAGCTTGGGAGTTTGAGGCTGCTGTGAGCCACTGTCGTGCCACTTCATCAGCCTGGGTGACAGAGTGAGACTTTGTCTCAAGGGAATTCTTTTGGCTGCTTTCAGAACATTCAGACATGCTGTTTTATATGGTTTGGGTTGAGGGAAGAGGAGCTGAGTCTCTATAAACAGACTTACTGTGGAAGCCCAGAAGTCAAGGAAAAGACTCCTCTTTCTCTTCCCCTGTGGAAGGGAGTCAGTTTCTCAGCCATCAAAGCTTTCTCACTGTATCTGCCTCTGATGTAAGGAATGCAGCAAATTTTAAAAGGCTTTTGACTCAGAACCGTGCCCTGTTCATATGAGTTTGATGACTCCTGATCGAACTAGACCTTAGTAAACAGGAACTGTTTGCATGCCATATGACTCCCTTGGCCGGAAGATATGGTATTCAATTAGAATTTTAATTAATAATTAAAAGTCCCTTTGTCTCTTCCAATGGACTCATCTTTCTCATAAAAGATTTTATTTTGACTGTAATTTTGCCAATGTGCTTTTTCTTGTGGTAAAATTAAAACATCATAACTTCTGCAAACAGGATATCAAATGCTTGTCAGTGCTTGAGGAGAAAGCATATTATTGTATCTGATTTAAGTGCTGTAACATAATCTGATAATTGATTGAAGAACTGTCAGGAAAAGATAGTTAATGAATATGGAGGATTTCGAAGAAAAGTGAGGTGCCAGATCGAGTGTTGAGGAATCCATTGTAGACTTGGTTTAGATGACTGTCTTTAATTATGAATATTGTTTTTAAACAGTAAAGTCACACGAATACATTCCTGATAATATACTAAAGGTCACAGGGCCCAACAAATGAGTAGTTTCAAATGTAGATAATTTAAAGATGAAGCACTAACAGTCTGTGAGCAAGCCAGTATTGAAAGCGAATGTCACTGAGCTTATTGATGAATTAAAATGAATGGATACAGGTGAGAAATAAATTCGATTAAAATGCAGCAACAAAAAAGGAGAGAGATGTTATCTAGGGTTCTCTGTCCCTTAGATATTTAGTTAATTCTTGCTGATGTTGCTGTTGCTTTAGATGTTGTGGTATAGATTACAAGACTTATGTCAGCCGCCATATACGTTATGACAATGCTTGTTTTTCAGCTTTTCTTCTTAAAAAAATGAAATGTTGCTGTATACATCTGTCTAGTCTCTTCAACCCACTTACACTTATGAGCATAATGCATATTTATTAATATGCATTTGCTTCAATTTACCACTTAGCTCATAAGATCTTTCAGAAGAGGGACCATGAATCCTGTTGGCTTGCCCTAAAAGATAGTGTAAGGCATATTCATAGATGGATTATTATACTGTTATAAGTGATTTTTTATTTATTTAGCAAATGCCTACATAGTACTGTGCATTGAACACTTGTAAGTGAACTGTCAATTAATTTTATCCTTCTGACAACCCTTATGCAGTAAGTATAATCATTGTTCTCATTTTATGTAGAGGAACCTAGAAATTAAGTAACTCAATGTTTATAATTGGAGAATTGGGACTTGTACCCCAGCAATGCAGCTATAGAGTCAGTGTGCCTGCCATGACACCAGTCTTCTCTACCCTTTCTCTCTTAAATCAGAGAGTATCAACCACTGCATGAGGTTGTGATCCTCCCTTTTTCCTTCAGGCATTGGTTGGAGGAACAGCCCTTCACCCTCTCCCATTTGGGGCACTGAACACAGTGTTTCAAATTATACTGGTATGGTTTACTCTTTCTTAATTTCTGCCACATATCAGTTTGTCACTTAGAGTAGTCCATATTAACACCACCACAATTTTAATATTCTTATACTTTTTTCTCAATATAGCAGGAAGGAATACAAATGCATACATTAGAGCACCAATTTATTTTAACTGTAGCACCTACAGTTACCCCCCTCACTAATTGTAGGGGGTATAACTTGGTTTCATTTCTGTTATGCTAAAAATATTTGTCTTTTGTGTGTGGAGCTGTTTCCAAACTTGTTAATTAATTGCTCCCTGCTACTCTATCATGTCCCCTCAGGTTACAGACATCACAGGATAGAAGGAAAATAACAAGATGCAAGATAATGATCTGCATGCTGAGGGAAGAATTCTGCTTTCAGATTATATTAAAAGCATTTTCAGTATTTCAGACATCAAATTTTGAATTGTTTTTGAGAGACTGAGTATACAGAGACAATGGCTAGACCACAGGGCAATAGAACTCTCATCCACAACCTCTAAAGCAACCATTCTAGGAGGCCAAACCCCAGCCTCTGTAACAATAAGTACAGGATGGTGAGGGTTTGATCAATGACTGCTGGCTTCCCTAATTTTTGCCCCTGCCTCCAACTCAGTACCAATTAGATAAAACCAAATATGCTTCCCAAACTAATCACATAGCATATGCCACTTCTAGGCCTGTCTCCAACATCCCCATGACTGAAACCCCAATCAGGGCATACCTGAAGCCTCCCCTTTTCTTTTACCATAGATTTCTCATGTCTCTGCCTGCCTTTGAGTCTCTGCCAAATGCAAGTGATGATGACTGACTCCCTTGTGATAGCAAACTCTGAATAAATAAGTAGCCTCTAGTTTTTATTTCTGCACTTTCAAGAGAAATAGTCCCCTCTTGCTTCATTTGCCAGAAAATTGTTTATTATATTAATTTCTCACCTTTCAATGGTGTCCATAAGAGATTTCTGAAAGGGTTGACAAACATCTAGATAGCCAAAGGGTTATTTAGATGTGTATGTAAGTTGTGGCAAAATCAAAACTTACAAATATTAGTTTTATCATTGTCTTAAAATATTTTGCCCATTGTCTACTTGTAATTGGATATGTTTGCCCCTAGTATTATTTTAAAAAATCAGAGAAACAAAGCAAAGATATATTAAGGAGAGTTTTATTGTAAAGATAGGCAGGACCTACAATTTTACATTTTTTCAAGTGTACAAAAACTCTCAGAGTAGAGATTTCTTTATGTCTGTCATACCAGCAGACAGATTATTTATAAATTGGGAAAGGGAAAGTTCACTTTTTGCCAAACTGAGGCAGAGGGGGTGGCACCTTAATATCTTGGCCTCTCTCCAACTTCTTTTCACAGTCCACCAGGTAATTGACTCCATCGATGACTATCTGAACAAGCTCCACCTTTGACAGTGAAGAAGATGAATTATTAATTTGAATAGAAGACACTTGCAGGGCATTGATTAACAGCAACAATACTGGGATAAATGAGAACTTGCCACTTAGATGGACTTCACAACAATTTCTTCCTTCTCAAAGATGAAAGGTAGAGATATTTTAAGGGTTTCTCTCAGTCTTTCCATAGTTAAGATGGGGTTACTACTTTGTATGTGAAAGCTTTTTTACTATATGAAAAGCATTTGTTGGCATCTCAAACTTTTTTTCCTATCAGTATCTGCTATAAAATGTGAGAGTTTGTCTAGAAGTAAGACACCACAGTGCCACCCTTGTGGTGTTCTTTGGCCTGGATCTGAATTCTGACCTGTCACTAATCTGTCTGAGCACTGGATATGCCAATGTAGTTCAGATGTTATCATTTACACAGTGGGCATCTTCCTGAAAACTTATGTAACATCAAATGTTTGGCAGCTAAATCATGTTTGTACTAGGCTAGGCAGGCTTATTAATGAAATGAAGTTTTGCAAATTATATTAAGTTATACTTTCTAAAATTCCTACTCTTAAAAAATTATGTTTAGAACTTTGGTTTCCAAATATTGGTTTTCCTTAAACCAGAGCACATCTACTTATAATTTTTTTTCCCCTTGGGATCCCCTCCTAAGCAAATGACTGGCACTGTTACCAAGGAAACGCAAATTCAGAGAGAAATTAGTTAATTCCAGACAATAAATGATACAGCTAAAAAATGAACAGCAAGGGTGGAAGGGATCATTGAATGTTAGTGCTTAGGCATCACAGATTCCAGCTTCCTGTCTCTTTATATGCATAAGGAAACTTAAGCCCCAAGAGAGGGTTGAATCAGAAAGTTAGTCACTACTAACTAAAGAAACGTATTTTCTCCTTGTCCCTTTGGTCTCTTCTAGTGTTGGTGAGAGTGTGATGAGATGGGTCTGTCACTCACTGCCAGTAGGACTTTATCTTGGTATAAATCTGGTAAAAAACTTGGTCATAAATAGGGCCCCCTGCTTTTAACCCACAATTCCTTTCCTAGAAGTATAGTCTAAATAACCAGAGTTGTGATTAGAATTATATATAGAGATGGTCAAACATAAAATCAGGAAAACATTAAATAGACAATGGATTATGTTTACTGTGAGTAGAAATCATGTGTTTGAAGAATACTTAATATTTTGGGAAAATGCTCATGATATAATACATTGGAAAAAATTATAAGTAGTATTTGATTATAATACTAAAATATGTGTTATAACAATTTTTCAAAAGTTTTTTGAGTAGATTTAGTGGAATGAAGGGCCATTTAGAATAATGTTCACAATGGTTATCAGGGTTGTTGGGTTAAATAAATGGTGTTTTATAATTATTTTTTGGCACTTTGCTCACTTTATGACTGCTATTATAGTTAGACTTGAAAATTTAAGCATTAAATACATGGTTTTCCAGTAATACATATCTAGTTAATATTAGAATCAACTGGGATAGACTCCCAGATTTTCTTTATTCACTACACCACACATTATTCAGTAAATTTCATAGGTTGTATTATAGTTGCTTGTCCCTCAAGTACTTTACCACAGCTGATAGCACACAGGCTGATCTAATTGTTTGGAGTGTTTCTTCCTTTCCTTTTCCTCAGTGTACGGGTGTGATATCAATAGGCGGTGGGATATCAATAGGCACTGAAATACTCAAAAACTAGTAAGGAAGAAGACAGCTTTGATAATCCGTAGATTTAATAACCAGTCACTGAATCATTAAGAGTTTTGTTATGAGAAGAGGTTTTTAAATTAATGGTGGGCATGATCTGTCCAATGAGGCCACATCCAGATAAGCTGGTATAACTTACCATGATCAATATTGCTTAGTGTTCAGCTGCATGTTCCTTACATTTGATCTTTTTGCCTCACTGTTTCAGGGCCACACATAGTCTATGAATCCTTTTCATCCTACATATTCATCACAGAATCCTAAGGATTTTATGAACACAAACTTATCTAGACCTGGCACATGACATATTTGCTATCTTTAGCCTAAGAAATAAAAGTGTAGATACTGTCAAGCATCTAAGAACACCAAAATAAAGATGATAGTATGTAGCCTTCACCAAAAAAATTCAGAATCAATAGAAAATTCCACTATTTTGTCACTCTCCAAGGGATAGCACAGACGTTCTGACTTTAAAGTAATACTTCAGTCCTTTAGCATAATAGAGCTCCTGCTTGCTGAAGATTGTTGGAATACTCTTAAGGCAGGTTGGTGACAACAGCCCCACTGTAAATTCCTATAGTTGCCTGTAAATTCTCAGCTCACATTATGTTTACCTTTATGCAGTTATTTCCCATGGAAGAATAATGTTACAGAATGAAAAGCTAACATAACTCAGGACTCGATGGGTGAAAAGGAGGTCTCGAATTCTGTGAAAACGGTAAGGCTGTTTAGGCGGCTTTTCTCTATTCTCTCAGGCTGATTTTGTTAATTCATGTTAGGAAAGTGAGAGAGACATTACCTCTGATCGACCAATTCTATCTATGTTGGAAATGTCGTACACATCTGCAACCGCGGCAGTGTCCACACCACCTGTGCCACGCTTCTGGAGTCTTAGGTTTTCCAGGATCTTAGAAAAGCGTGGGTCCTAGGACAAGGGGATAATACTTAAATGTGGTAAGAGGCAAAAATCTATTCATAATCATTGGTACATTTACTTAGAAAAGACATATAGTAAGATAACAGTTTAACATTTTTTTCTTATACTTTAAGTTCTATGATACCTGTGCAGAATGTGCAGGTTTGTTACATAGGTATACATGTGCCATGGTGATTTGCTGTGCCCATCTACCCATCATCTACATTAGGTATTTCTCCTAATACTGTCCCCCTCCCCTACTCCCCCACCCCAACAGGCCCCAGTGTGTGACATTCCCTTCCCTGTGTCCATGTGTTCTCATTGTTCAATTCCTACTTATAAGTGAGAACATGCAGTATTTGGTTTTCTGTTTCTGTGTTAGTTTGCTGAGAATGATGGTTTCTGGCTTCATCCATATCTCTGCAAAGGACATCAACTCATCCCATTTTACGGCTGCATAGTGTTCCATGGTGTATATGTGCCACATTTTCTTTATCGAGTCTATCATTGATGGGTATTGTTGCTTCCAAGTCTTTGCTATTGTAAACAGTGCTGCAATAAACACATATTTGCATGTGTCTTTATAGTAGAATGATTTATAATCCTTTGAGTATATTACCCAGTAATGGGATTGCTAAGTCAATTGATATTTCTGGTTCTAGATCCTTGAGGAATCGCCACACTGTCTTTCACAGTGTTTGAACTAATTTTACACTCCCACCAGCAGTGTAAAAGCATTCCTATTTCTCCACATACTCTCCAGCATCTGTTGTTTTGTGATTTTTTTTTTTAATGATTGCCATTCTACTGGCATGAGGTGGTATAACGATGTGGTTTTGATTTGCATTTCTCTAGTGACCAGTGATGATGAGCTTTTTTTCATGTTAGTTGACCCGTTAAATGTCTTCTTGTGAGAAGTGTCTGTTCATATTGTTTACCCACTTTTTGATGAGGTCGTTTTTTTCTTGAAAATTTAAGTTCTTTGTAGATTCTGGGTATTAACCATTTGTCAGATGGATAGATGGCAAAATTTTTCTCCCATTCTGTTGGTTACCAGTTCACTCTGATAATTCATTTTGTTGTGCAGAAGCTCTTCAGTTTAATTAGATCCCATTTGTCAATTTTGGCTTTTGTTGCCATTGCTTTGGGTGTTTTAGTCATGAAGTCCTTGCCCATGCCTATGTTCTGAATGGTATTGCCTAGGTTTTCTTCTAGGGTTTTTATGGTTTTAGGTCTTATATTTAAGGCTTTAATCCATCCTGAGTTAATTTTTGTATAAGGTGTAAGGAAGGGGTCCAGTTTCAGTTTTCTTCATATGGCTATCCTGTTTTCCCAACACCATTTATTAAATAGGGAATCCTTTCCCCATTGCTTGTATTTACTAGGTTTGTCAAAGATCAGATGGTTATAGATTTGTGGTGTTATTTCTGCGGCCTCTGTTCTGTTCCATTGGTCTATATATCTGTTTTGGTACCAGTACCATGCTGTTTTGGTTACTGTAGCCTTGTAGTATAGTTTGAAGTCAGGTAGCATGATGCTTCCAGCTTTGTTCTTTATGCTTAGGATTGTCTTGGCTAAAGGGGCTCTTTTTTGATTCTATATGAAATTTAAAGTATTTTTTCCTAAATCTGTGAAGAAAGTCAGTGGTAACTATACAGGCTCTTTTTTGATTCCATATGAAATTTAAAGTAGTTTTTTCTAATTCTGTGGAGGAAGTCCATGGTAGCTTGATGGGGATGGCATTGAATCTATAAATTACTTTGGGCAGTATGGCCATTTTCATGATACTTCTTTCCTATCCATGAGCATGGAATGTTTTTCCATTTATTTGTGTCCTCTCTTATTTCCTTGAGCTTGTAGTTCTCCTTGAAGAGGTCCTTCACATCCCTTCTAAGTTGTATTCCTTGGTATTTTATTCTCTTTATAGCAATCGGGAATGGGAGTTCACTTATGATTTGGCTATTTTTGGTGTATAGGAATGCTTTTGATTTTTGCACACTGATTTTGTATCCTGAGACTTTTCTGAAATTACTTAGCAGCTTAAGGAGATTTTGGGGTAAGATAATGGAGTTTTCTAAATATACAATCATGTCATCTGTGAACAGACAATTTGACTTCCTCTCTTCCTATTGAATATGTTTTATTTCTTTCTCTTGCCTGACTTCCCTGGCCAGAACTTGCAATACTATGTTGAATAGGAGTTGTGAGAGGGTGTTCTTGTCTTGTGCTTGTTTTCAAAGGGATTGCTTCCAGCTTTTGCCCATTTAGTATGATATTGGCTGTGGCTTTGTCATAAATAGCTCTTATTTTGAGATATGTCCCATCAATACCTAGTTTATTGAGAGTTTTTAATATGAAAGGGTGTTGAATTTTATTGAAGGCTTTTTCTGCATCTATTGAATTAATCGTGATTTTTGCCATTGATTCTGTTTATGCACTAGATTATGTTTGTTGATTTGCAGATGTTGAACTAGCCTTGCAGCCCAGGGATGAAGCTGGCTTGATCATGTGCTGCTGGACTTGGTTTGCCAGCATTTTATCGTTATAAATAAAATAATGATGTTCATCAGGGATATTGACCTGAAATTTTGTTTTTTTGTTGTGTTTCTACCAGGTTTTGGTATCAGGATGATGGTGGCCTCATAAAATAAGTTAGGGAGGAGTCCCTCTTTTTCTATTGTTTGGAATAATTTCAGAAGGAATGCTACCAGCTCCCCTTTGTACCTCTGATAGAAGTTGGCTGTGAATCTGTCTGGTCCTGAGCTTGTTTCAGTTGGTAAGCTATTAATTACTGCCTCAATTTCAGAAGTTGTTATTGGTCTATTCAGGGATTCAATTCTTCCTGGTTTAGTCTTGGGAGGGTATATGTGTCCAGGAATTTATCCATTCTTTCTAGATTTTCTGGTTTATTTGTGTAGAGGTTTTTATAGTATTCTCTGATGGTAGTTTGTATTTCTGTGAGATCAGTGGTGATACCTCCTTTATCATTTTTTTTATTTTGTCTATTTGATTCTTTTCTCTTTTTTCTTTATTAGTCTGGCTAGCAGTCTATTTTGTTAATCTTTTCAAAAAACCAGCTCCTGGATTCCTAGATTTTTTTTTTTTTTTTTTTTGAAGAGTTTCTTATTTCTCTCTCTCTCTCTCCCCTTCACTTCTGCTCTGATCTTAGTTATTTCTTGTCTTCTGCTAGCTTTTGAATTTGCTTGCTCTTGCTTCTTTAGTTCTTTTAATTGTGATGTTAGGGCATCAGTTTTAGATATTTCCTGCTTTCTCCTTTGGGCATTTAGTGCTGCAAATTTCCCTCTACACACTACTTTAGCTGTGTCCCAGAGATTCTGGCACATTGGATCTTTGTTCACATTGGTTTCAAAGAACTTATTTATTTTTGCCTTATTTTTGTTATTTACCCAGTAGTCATTCAGGAGTAGGTTGTTCAGTTTCCATGTAGTTGTGTAGTTTTGAGTGAATTTCTTAATCCTGAGTTCTAATTTGATTGCACTGTGGACTGAAAGACTGATTTCCATTCTTTTGCATTTGCTGAGGAGTGTTTTACTTCCAATTATGTCGTCAATTTTAGAAAAAGTATGATGTACAGAGAAGAATGTATATTCTGTTGATTTGGGGTGGAGAGTTCTGTAGATGTCTATTAGGTCCACTTGGTCCAGAGCTGAGTTCAAGTCCTGAAGATCCATGTTAATTTTCTGTCTCATTGATCTAATATTGACATTGGGGTGTTAAAGTCTCCCACTATTATTGTGTGGGAGTCTAAGTCTCTTTGTAGGTCTCTAAGAATTTGCTTTGTAAATCTGGATGCTCTTGTATTGGGTGCATATATATTTAGGATAGTTAGTTCTTCTTGTTGCATTGATCCCTTTTCCATTATGCAATGCATTTTGTCTTTTTTGATCTTTGTTGGTTTAAAGTCTGTTTTACCAGAGACTAGGATTGCAACCCCTGCTTGTTTTGCTTTCCATTTTGCTTGGTAAATCTTCCTCCATCCCTTTATTTTGAGCCTATGTGTGTCTTTGCATGTGAGATGGGGCTCCTGAATTCAGCACACTGATGAGTCTTGATTATTTATCCAATTTGTCACTCTTTGTCTTTTAATTGGAGCATTTAGCCTGTTTACATTTAAGGTTAATATTGTTATATGTGAATTTGATCATGTCATTATGATGCTAACTGGTTGTTTTACCCATTAGTTGATGCAGTTTATTCATAGCATCCATGGTCTTTACAATTTGGTATGTTTTTGCAGTGGCTGGTACCGGTTTTTCCTTTCCATATTTGTTTCAGGAGCTCTTGTAAGGCAGGCCTGGTAGTGACAAAATCTCTCAGCATTTGCTCCCTGTAAAGGATTTTGTTTCTCCTTCACTTATGAAGCTTAGTTTGGCTGAATATGAAATTCTGAGCTGAAAATTCTTTAAGAATGTTGAATATTGGCCCCCACTCCCTTCTGGTTTGGAACTCCTGGACTCAAGGGATCCTCCTGCCTCTCGAGTAACTAGGACTATAAGCACACACTACTGTGCCTGGCTAATTTTTTTCATTTTGTAAAGATGAGGTCTCACATACTGTCCAGGCTTGTCTCGAACTCTGGGGCTCAAGTAATCCTCCCGCCTTGGCCAGAGTGCTGAGATTACAGGTGTGAGCCACTGTCCCTGGCTGAAACTTGTGTTCTTAACTTCCATATCGTTTGGCTTTTGGTGCCAAGATGCCAGCATTGGTATGTTTATTATTTGTTTACATAACAGTTGTCATTGTTAAAATTATAAAGTTAAATCACTTAAATTTCTTAGCTT